AGAAGAAGAAGAAGAAGAAGAAGTGGCGCACATGGCTCCCCATAAGTAAATATAATAATTCCTGCTCATTTTGCATGAGTGTATCTGTGTAATGAGTGTGTGTGTGGGTATGTACTGGGGCGGCAAATGTGCCATAAATCTATCCGAGCAACGCTTAAGAAACATCAATTGTCGCATCTACTAACGGCGACGACACAAATCTCACGCGCTACACAACAGCTCGGGCAAAATGAAAAATAAAACAATCACTACATTTTTATCATAAAGTTCCCGCGATCAAGCGGGTGTGTGCTTGTATGTGTGTGTGTGTCGGGAGTGTAGAGGGTGTGCTGATTGCTTCAAAAGGCGACCGCGAGAAATGAAAGTGATGTGGCATTAGCGGCAAATTTTAATGCGGCGTAAAATTAAAATTTCCAATATTTTTTTTTTTATTTTTTTATTTTTTTCTGCGTTACTTGTTCGAGCTGTGTGTGAATGCACAGTCACCCAGTTTCTGCTTTTATGAATTCTATTTTTCATATTTCGCTGACATAAGTCGAGCGTCGTCATCTCCACGGCGTTACTTTGCAACATGTCATTTGTGTCACTTGTTTTTCAGCACTTTTCTTCTTGCATCTGCTTCTCCTTTATTTTATTATTTATTATATTATTTTTTTATTTTATTTTGCATCTGAGTTGTTGAAGTATTTTTGTCACAGCTAAATCTGTGGCTTTCAGCCCAGGAGACACGTTGATGTAGCAACAACAACGCTACCGGACAAGATGATGACTTTGGAGTAAATTAGCAAGCTAATTTTTGAATTTGGCGGTGGCAAACTTTTAATACAAAAAAACATAATCATAAATAAAAACAAAAAATTATTAACAAAAATAAATACAAAAAATGGAAAATACAAACAACAAATTTGTAAATTTATGAAAGGAAAAAATTAATTAAATAATATTAAATGTAAAACAAACTGAAATTATAATAAAAAATAAAAACAAAAAATTAATAACAAAAATAAATACAAAAAAGAATGGGGAATTAAAGCAACAAAATTATAAAATTAAGAAAGGAAAAAAAAAATAAATTAAATAATCTTAAATATGAAACAAACAAAAATTAAATTTAAAAAATCTGGTTAAATAAAAAAATAAAATAGAATAAAAAAATAATGCAAAAGACAAAATAAAAAATAAGAATAAATAAAACTAATAAAAAAATACAAATAAAAAACTATTGAACTTAAAATATAAAAAAATAATTAAACAATCCTATATATAAAATAAACTAAAATAAAAATAAAAAAATTTAATAATATATATATTTTTTTTAATATTTAAAGAATTAGGAAATCTAATACTTTAAATCAATTAAAATATAATAATACAAAGTAAAATAAAATAATGTAAACTTATTTTAAAAACACAAAAAGATAAGATAAATAAAAATTTAGATGAAAAAAAATAACTTTTTTACTATTTTATAAAGTAAATTAAATTAAATTAAATAAAAATAATTAGTACTAAAAAATAAAATAAAATAAAATGGAATAAAAAAATAAAATCAAATAAATTGAAATAAAAAAATAATAAAGAGTAAAAAATAAATATCTTAATTAAAATAAAATTAAAGTAAAATGCGATAAATAAAATGAAGCTAAATTGAACAAAATAAAATAAAATATTTTGAAAAAAATCAGTAAAATAAAACAATTAAAATATAATAAAACAAAATAATAATGCAAACAAATAATCAGAAATAATAAAAAAATAAAATTTTTAGCAAAAAAAATTTAAAACTACAAAAACTAGAGAATTTAAAGAGCCAAAAAATTCAGTTAAACAGTCCTAAATGTAAAATTAACTGAAATAAAAATAAACAAAATTAACAAAATAATATAAAATTAAATAAAAATTTAAAAAATGAAGAAATATAAATTTTAAATCGGTTAAATTTTATTAAAAATATAAATTTAAATTAAATAACAAAAATTAAAAAAAATATAAGATAAAATAAAATTATTTATATATTTTTCAAGTAAAATAAATCAAATTAAATAAATTAAATTAAAATAATTTAGTAATAAAATATAAAATGACGTAATATGCATAAAATAATATAAAATAAAAAAGAATAAAGAAATTAAAAATTAATTAAAATTAAATGAAATTAAAATAACATAAAAAGAATAAAGTAAAATTAAATTACAAAAGCAAAAAAATGAAATTAAATAAAAATGAAATAAAAAAATTATTTTAGTAAAATAAAATTAAATTTTACAAAATAAAATAAGACAGAGGAAAACAAAATAAAAATAAAATAAAATATAACTGAAAAAAAAGCAAAAAAAAAAAATATAATAAAATGGAACAAAATAAATTGAGAAAACACTGTGCAAGTTTGCGTTGTAATAGACGGACGAGCGTACATGCCTAAATCAACTCAGCTCAGATCATAACGGTAAAAATTTCGATGGGTCTCTAACTCTCTCTGCAAAAACTTACATACTTCGGGCCAAAGTTAACATACAATTTAATGCTCATGAAAGCTATAGAAACAAAAAAATACTTTCAAAATGAGAATTTTAGAAATTTTTCTGCCGCTTAACCGGAACTAAGTTAAGTTAAACTCAACACAATTTTTCTGAAGTGCTCTTTGCATTGTTTAATTCTGAATATAAACATTTTGAGAATAATTCATCAAAATGTAAAGTCCATTCAAACAATCTCTGACCGACAACTGACTGATCGCTGATTCAGCGAGCAGTCGCCACGCCTCCGCCAAATAAAAAGTTGGTGGAAGTTGTAAAATTGTGTTTACTTCATAGGCTCACCTGACTCACCTGGTTGGGTTGGCGCTACGACCACCACGTCTGTTGTATACATTTTTGTAATTTCTAGCAAGCCAGGTGGGTGATTGACTTGCAAACTGACTGACTGAGTGATTTGACTACCTAACTGATTGCTTTGTGTGCGTGTAAACTCACCAACTCACTGCACTGAGTGACTGACGTGTTATATGGCATTGCAATTAAATTTTTGTTGCTGTTCTTGCTAGCTGAGCGGAAACTTTCAAAGCTTTTGCACTTTGCCTGCGGTCAAAATCCGCGATTAACTTCGGTAAATCCTATGGAAAATAGACAAACTTTTTGTTTCATTCTTTTCTACATTTTGTTTTTTTTTTTACTTTTTTAGTCTTCGCCAAATATGCTTCACTGCATTTCGATATGCTACTCTTCATGAGTTTTTTTTTTTTTGTTTTTAGGTTTGATTTTGTTTCCTTTAAAGCTGCCGTGTTTTGTTTGTATTCACTTTATTTGTGCTTAGTTGTTTTTGGCATTTATGTTGATGTACATATCAAGCTGTGTGTTTGTTATTTTTACTTGCCCTTTGTTCATTTCAACATTTTTACTACTTTTCCGCTTTAATTCACTTTCATCATTCAAACCACAAAAGTCATCTTCCATCTTCCATCTTTCATCTTTCAACATCAACATCAAATCCAACATAAACTTCTACCCACTAGACCTCTATCTGGGAGATTGATGTTTTAATTTTGCTTACATTGCTTATATTTAGTGAGTAGGCAGCATCAACATCAACAACAACAATAAACTAGTGTAGAATGAGCAATTATTTTCGAAGTGTAATTAAAATTACTCGCTTGGAGTGAAAATAAAAAAAAAAGTTCAACAAAAAGTATTATATCTCTTCAAGGTATTTCGATAAAGGAAAAAAAATAAACATAAAATACAATTTTTCTAAGTTCGCTAGATGCTCTTAAGAAATCTTGCGATGAATAATTATTAAATTCTGAATTTTTCTTATCTCTCTCTTTTTTATCATAGATACAAAAAAAAGCGTTGCAATTTTAACAGAAAAAAACCTTTCTTATACTTTATTAATTCTAATTTTTTTCATTACTTTATCTAATTTCATTTTGCTTTACTTGTCTTATGATACTTTCTCAATTTTTTGATTTTTTTATTATTGTTATTACACTCTTTTATTTTTTTTTATCAATTTCTGTCAATTTCATTTTATTTTATTCTAGCTATAATTTTTTGTTTGTTCTATTTCATTTTATTCGATTTTTTCATATTTTTGAATTTTATTGCATTTTATTTCAGTTTATTTTAATATATTCCATTTTATTTTTATTTACTTTGTTTTATTTAAATTTTATTTAATTTTATTTTATTTTATTTTATTTTATTTTATTTTATTTTATTTTATCTTATTTTATTTTATTTTATTTTATTTTATTTTATTTATTTTATTTATTTTATTTTATTTTATTTTTTTTTAATTTTATTTTAATACTTTACTTACTTTAAGTTAACTTAGTTAAGCTAAATTTAATTTAAATTACTTGGTTCTATTTTATTATATTTTGGTTCATTTGTTGTTATTTTTTACTCGTATTATATATTTATTTATTACTTTAGATAATTTATTTTTTACGTTATGATTTTACTTAATTTATTTTAGCTTGATTGAAATTAGTTTTATTTTATTAAATTATTTTTTTAAATATAGTAAATTAAATTTAAATTTAATTATTTAAATGGAAATAATTTAATTTAATTTAATTTACTTTTATTTTATAAAATTTTTCATTAAATTTTATATTATCAAACACAAAGAAAAATTGAATTCCCTGTCAACGAATAAGCGAGATGGGAGAGCCTCACATTATCTCTCTTATGCTCTCTTAATCACTCAAACCGAGTCTTATATAAGTAAGGGCCACAAAGCGTTCAAACTAATTTATATGTATTATATTAAATAGCACACAAATATTTTATTTAATTTGCACACAGAAGAATGAAAGGAGAGGAAGAAAACGAAAAGAAAACGGATGTAATTAAGCCTAGACAAACTGCGAACGATGAGCGCTAATTTACACTTCGAGTCAGACTCGCATTTTCGTACTTTTTCAAACACTTTTCACTTCTCATTTAGTTAAAATAGGAATATATTTTTTGTTGTTGTTGCTTTTATTCTGCACTTACCGGCAATTTGTAATGTGGCCTTTCGACTCACCGCCTTCCCAACATGATTCTTAGCCACACACCAATAGACACCACTATCCTGCTCCTTTTTACTCATCATGGTGCGATAGAAGAAGAGTGCGCCGTCCTTGAAGAGAACACGATGTGATTTCTTTTCATTGGTATTCACCGGTTCGCCATCCTAAAGAAAAGAAGAGAGTAAAAGTTGAAAAAATAATGAAGATGTGTAAATAAATGTAGGAGAAATATTTGCAGACAAAACGGAGGTAATGGAAATATTTATTGGGTGTGAAAAACAAATGGCGCACTTAGTATCATTTGAATGTAGCCACTTTGTTATCATTCTAAAGAATTTACCGCACAATGTGGATGCATACAATGGGTAGTCAATTCAAAAGTGACTCAGTTTAGGTAATGAGTTATTGGGCTAGTCAGTTTATAAGCTAGTCCTAAATAAACTATAAAGCGTGAAGTGTAAAACTAGTCTGCAAATGTAGCTACCACTATTTCTTTATACACAACTTTGGTAAGTTTATATTACCAGGCTCATCTTAATTTCATGAGTCACAGTTAACTGACAAAGAGGCTGCAAAACAAGACAAAACCGCAAACACTTTTTTTTATTTTTTTTTTGTTTCCACTCAACAAACTCTTGCGGTTTAACTCTGTAGTTTGTCATTCGCTGCTTCATGTGGTTAACTGTGTGGCAAGTGTGTTGCATATTTTTCCCTACACTCTAACAAATACATTGCAATTGAATTAAAATTTACAGCGTACGTGGTGGCAATGTCGGAAAAGAGGTGTATGTTGCATGCTACTTTCCTTTTCATGAGTTATACTTCTATGTGGCACTGTGTATGCGACAATTGTGATTGCAGGTTGCACTAGTCATGTTTATTTTATGCCGCTCTGTGGTCTTGGTATAATTTTTCAAGAAAAAAAAAGGGAATTTACATATTGTAATTGTAAAGAAAGGAAAATTGTTGTGGTTTACGAAAACAAAGGTAATTTGTGGTGTCAAAGCACAGAGAAGGAAATATTATTTGCAAGGAAAAAATAAACAAAAAATGTGAGGTTAAGGTTAGGAATTTGGCTTAACAATAAAACAAAAAAAAAACAATTTGATTGAAATTTGGAGAAAAATTTAATTATAACTAAGAAACAAAAATATATGCTTTACAAAAGTGAGAAATACAGATTATAAATGTGATTTCAAACTCTTGAAATTGATATTAAATTTGTCAATCTGTACAATCTGAACAATAGAGACTGCATTTAAAGAAATCTGAAATCTGAATTATTTATATATTTTCAACCCTTTTAACCTGCAGTTACTGTGACAAAACGACCGCATACAGGAGCATGTCTTAGCTATAATATATATGTTGCACCTAAATGTAGGCAGCGTATTTCGCAAATCATACACAATGAATGGTTAAATTTTTGTGTCGCCAATTTTCAACAACTAGCAAAGAAATAATTAAGTTCAATACAGTACAGACAATATTAAAAAATGCAATTTAATATCAAGAACTTAATAGCTTCAGCAACATGAACTCTGTGGTCTGAATAGGCCATCAAGAAAATTAGTCCCATAAAATTGAAACAAAACACTGTGTGATGAGCGATGATTGGCATAACATCATCTATTACACATTGTTTTATTAGAAATGCATTATAATGAAGTAGAAAGAGTTTTTCCCAAAGTGGTATTTTATGAGATCTTCTTCTCTACTATTTTGGCCTGAAGCGCTACTAAGGCAATTTCCTCTGCCTTACAGTTCTCATTCTATTACTTTCTTTGTAATTTTAGAGGAGAGTATCATCTTTATAGCTCTTGTAACATTTCGTGTGATTAACTTCAAGTCTTGCTGCGTAGCCTTTTATTAGATAGTGGTATTTTATTTGATCTTTTATTGTCTTATTTCGACCAGATTTGCATAAAGTTCGGGAAAGTCATATCTATTCATAGCAATGCTGTCTTCTATGAGCTATGTGAAAGAGTATGCTCTGTTCAAATAACTCCTGTAGAGATCGGCCGCACTTTAGCTTAACTTTCGAGTTCATCATAAGACAAAAAAACACTTTCATTGCATCTATTGAAGGTTCCGATTCGCTTCCCACTCTAAGGAATGAAGTATGATTGCAACTCTCATGCAATGATTTTGTAGAACGCCGCCACCATTGACTCTCCTCTGAAGCTTTGATGCGTCGAATATGGATAGTTGTTGACCTATTCTTCTCTAATGGGGATTATTATACTGTAAATTTTCCAGAACATTATATTGTATAAAAATTCTTTTCAGGACGTCTACTAATAAGATTTGACTCTCTTAAACGAAGGGTGACTACTGCTGATGACAAACATATCAACCATTCTATTGTAGCATAAGAGACCCTTTGGTTCAGGATCACACCTCGAAATTAAATTTAAACTCACAGATGCAGACAAAAATTGCATGAGAATCAAGCCAGTAAGGTACGCGGGAATTTAACATTAGTATCATTACTATCACTATAATGCAGAAGATAGCCAAATTCGTTTTAAACAAACTAAATTGAATATTTAATTAACATTGAGTTCATTTGCAAAATATATTCCAAAAATTTAACTCCTAGTTGTAGGCAACATTATATCCATTAAAAACATTTGGTTTCCATCTTAGAAGCTAGCCTACATTTAGGATGAAGCAAAGTCAGTATTTTATCTTATGATATTCTTATATAAATTATTTAAAATAAATAAATAATTTTTTTTTTAAACACTAAGAATTTGTTTATACAAACTTTATGGATATAATTCTCAAATTTTTTTACTTAAATAAATTTTTTTAAATTTACTGCTTTCACAAAAAAATATCCAAATGAGCTACCAAAACATTAATTAAGAATTCTATATACATACATATATATAATTCCATATCCTTGACAACTAATCCACAATATTCAATGCGCATTCAGTGTACTTCCAAAGGCTCAAATACTGTCTAGCCGTTGGTACTTTCATAACCCTTCGGCGCGCTGTGCTGCAAAATAAAAAAACGTGCCACAAAAGTCCTTCCTAACCGACTTGAGCATAAATAAATATTCGACTACCTTTTTCCCCAAATTTATTACAATTCCAATTGTAAGCGACTTTATTGCCATGGCATTGCCGGGATTTACATTTTCAATTGTTTTATTCAATGAAAGTTGGACAGGCAAAAAGGAAAACCAGAAGAGAGATGAAATTAAATAAAATTCCAGCCACATATGCAGGCGAAGGACGACCAATTTCGTATAAATTTGTATGCGCAAAGAAAGCATGCATGCAAAGTAGAGAATTTAATACACTGACGAGCAGTAATCCTTTGCCAAATACATGTCTGACATACAAATGCACATATACATACAGCTACCAGTGTAGAGCTTATGGCAGGCTTTTCTTGCGCCTAGTGAATTCAAAATAAAATGAAATTCATATAAAAATATGTATATATATATATATTCTACATTTGAGATCATGTGAGTGATATGGCACTACTACCAGCATATGAAGTTGTTATCCACTCGTTACTCGTATTAAAACTACATATACATACATATATATTATATATCTATGTGCTACACCATTGATTGGACTTACCTTAAACCATTCAATTGTCGGCTCCGGTTTGCCTTCGACTTTGCAATTCAATGTGGCAGGTTCATTCTTTTTCACAACCAAATCAGTTGGATGCTCGATTATACGCGGTGATTGATATTGAGCTGCAAAGAGTTTTGGAAAGAAAAAAAGCCATAGATAAAAATGTGAAAAAATTTATTGAAATGTTAAAAAAATAGTTTGGTTTGTTGAAATATAGGAAAGGTAAAGAAAAAATATGCGGAAATTCGGTAAAAACAAAGCAATTTCATTTTGTATGTGCGGTGACTTTTAAATGGGACAGCAATTCACAGACGATTGTGGATTAGGGTGCGCCTTACGTGACAAGAGTTTTTGTTTTGGACTATAATATAAGGTTAAAAATTGTTGAGTAGTTGAGTAGCCAAAAGGAGTCTAATTCCACTGCATTACGAGTAAATTGACGCTATCTAACTTTCAAAGATGTGCCTGTATGACAGAATGTCTGAGAACATTGTCAAGTATATTAAAACGAAATGTAAAGAAAACACTTTAAACCCAGACAAAAAAGGGCAAAGATATTGAATAAATATGCTCATATAAGACAGGCGATGAACTTGGAGAAAATATACCATTGTATAACAGAGACGATATGCTCTAAAAACTTAGCTCCGATAAGGAATACAGTGCACTCATGGTAGCGAAAGCATCTTCGAGTGAATCAGAGTTGCAGAATATCAGGGGCTCAAAGGTTTACAAATTAGGTGTTGTAAAAAGAAATTAATTATTTTTCCAATTTATGGCGCTATTTATCTGTATCTCGCTATACTTTTTAGTTTTTCCTCGAAAAGGGCGAAAGCGCAAGCCAGTCGGCTGAAAATGTTTATGGTTGCGTTTATGGTGCTGATACCGTTACAATCAATCATGCACATTTTCAGTTTTTTCCGGTAATTTTTATGTAAAAGATGCTGGAAAGAGTGGAAGGCTAATTGTCGAAAATGTCGATGAAATCATGGACATAGTCGATTCCGACCGTCATGTCATGTAACCCTAAAGCTACAGGCGGCACGAAAACCCTTTAAGACTGGAGCAAGGCTGGAGAAAATTAAGCAATCCAATTCTATGCATAGGTAATGTATTTTTTTTTTACTACAACTAACGGAAACATCTGAACCCATCGCCTTTCATCGATCTTGTCATACAATTAAAGAAGAGAAGTATAAATATATATAATATAATACGTCTTATAGGTACTTCTAAAAATACTTGGGCTATGCGAAAAGTTATAACAAGATCGTTGGGCAGATTTTCCATATCATCTATCTATTACAGTTTCTTTAATATTCCTTCAACAATGGTATGTACATATATCGCATAAAAGTATAGATTTTTATTAAAAATTAAATATTTTCCAAAAAAGGTTCTTAGAGATTTTTAAGAAAGTTTTTACTTCCAAATTTATTTAAACAAAAACATTGACTAAATTTTACAAGTAAAATTAATGAAGTTACGTATACGCTCTGGTGTTTATATGGCTTTATTAATTATTTATTGTTTTCCTAATTTTATTCCCTATTTTTATTTGTTTCATTATTATTTTAAGTAATCCCATACCTCTTTTACATTACCTTAAAAAGAGTTAAACAATATTGTTGTTATTTGCAATTAGGAAAAAATTTTGTTGGTAAAGAACTAAAAAGCAGAGAAAGTTTAAAAAATAAACATTTTTCACAAAAATTTATACAAATAAATTTCTTAAAAATTTTCAAAGCAAAAAAAAACGGCAAAAAATTTTCAAACACCACGTATATTCTATTTAAACTGTAAATATTTATATACATATGAACATATATACGCAAAATATATAGTTTTTTCATCATTTAATGCCCAGAGTATTACGTGTTTGTGTTTTCGACTACCGTACGAAAAGGATTTGAATCCTTTAATTTTTTCCCAAAGCTGTTTGTCAGTTGGAATGAAATGTTTTTGTTAAAAAAAATGTGAAATAGAAAAAAATATATATATTTCGATATTTTTCGTATATTCTTTTTTTCTATACCATTGCAATTATTTATTTATTTTTAATTTTTTAAATGCAAAGTGCCGCTGTGGCTTACAGATTTTGTTTTGTGTTATTGTTTTTGTTTTTTTCTTTTGCTTTTTTTGCTTTTTTTTTGGCTTTGTTGAGCGTGTCGATTGCTTTCGATTTTTCATAACCACCAGTCATTCACCCTTACAAAGCTTTGAGTATCAGTATGGACAAGGGCTTAGAGGAATTAAGTTGCCTATGAAAAATATATATAAAAAATAAAATAGAAGTAACAGAAAATCTAAAATTTATATAAAAAATATATAACGAAAATTGTGTGCTTGTTTGTTGCCTAAGCCGATCAGCACACATTATACAGCATATAGTGCTTTGAAAAATATTTTTCCAGCACTGGAATAGTGCATTTAGTAAATTTTTTTTCTAATTTTAGAGTATATTTGATATCAAAAAAAATATTTTTGAAAAAAAAAATATTTTTATAAGTTTAAAAATTTTTTTTGGTTTTATAGACACATTTTACCAAAAAAAAATGTTTTTTGGGAAATGGGCAGCAATATTGCTTATCTTTGATATTTTACCTTATTTATTTATTTGGATATTGAAATTAAAAAAAAAAAAATATTATCTATTATTCTCTACTATATTCCCAACATTCTCTCTCTCTCGTTCTCTCTCTCTCTGTTATGTATCATTTCCCATTCTCAACAATTGCTATTTTGATCCTAAATGTAGGCAACTCTTTGCCAATTACTCCCTGTAATTTGGCCAAATTGCATACTGTTCAACTGACTTGAGCGCAATCTTGCCCCAATTTACCACTTTTTCACTTATCCACAAAGCTTCGTTCGTTTATTTCCATTCTATAAGAAAAAAATATGTATATGAAATTTAAATATTTTCTCGCTAAAATGAAACATTACTCATTTTTCACATAATTAAAAGTTTTCTCCATTAAAAAGTTAATACATTTAAAATCAAATTAAATTGACGGATATACAGACAGACAGATAGGCAGGAAGGTAAACAGTATACATTGCATTGCATATTAAGTAGGAGGAGCAGAAAATATGGAAAATTTACGTAAATTTTATTTATAATTTTCTCCGGCGCGCAAAAAGTACTTTTCCAATATTCTACAACGTTGCATGCTATATGTATCGTTGTCTGCTATTTATTTTAGGTAAAGTAATAGCTGTTGTTGGATGGTTGCTATTTTTACAAGTTGGCAAATTAATTAAAATTGTACGCTGAAAGAGTTGGCGTGGAGTGAGTTATTTTTGCAGTGTGGCGGTGAATGTTGCAGATTGCAATGAGTTGTGTTGCAGATGCGAGGTGGGCAAGAGGTTTTAATATATTTTTTATGCATTTTTATATTTAATTTTGTATTAGTTTTCTTACTTCATATTTTAAAATTTTTCATGAAGGGAATTACATTTATAATTATTATATCTTTTTTACTTTTTCATCATTTATTTATCGTGTTATTACTTTTATTTAGATTGGTGTATTAGTTTAAACTTTTTTTATTCCTTATTCCTTCTTTTGTTAATTTTTTTTAACTTTTGCTTAAAGTTTGTTTATACTCGTATTTATATTAGGTTTTGTCTTGTAATTATTTTAATTTTTATTACTTTTCTTGTTAAATTTATTTCACCTTTTTATTTTTTTATTTCGCATAACCAGTAAATGTTTTATGACTTTTTATTAAGTTTTGTATTTAGCTTTTAATTTGATTTTCCTCTAGATTTTGACTGCTATAATTTTTTTATTTTTCGCATAATGAAATTAATGAATTTTATTTTATCTTTTATTACTGCATTTTTGTAGATCTTCACATTTTATTTAAAATTTTACATAATTTTTTAATTTTTTATTTATATGAGTTTTTGTTTTTATATATTTCACATTTTTTTGAATTAATTTTTTACCATTTATATTTTGACATATTTTTAATTCCTTCAATTTTCATTACGGTGATGCTGCTCTGAATTAAAGAACGTGTCGGGAGCGGTTTCAACGTTTTAAAAATGGTGATTTCGATGACGAAGACAAACAAGGTTATGTCTTGTATTTGGTGGGATCAGCTCGGTGTGATTTACTGCGAGCTCTTAAAACCGGGTGAAACCATCACAGGAGATCGCTACCGAACGCAACTGATGCGCCTCAGTCGCGTGCTAAAAGAAAAGCGGCCACAATATCAAAATCGACATGACAAAGTCATCCTCCAACATGACAATGCTCGGCCACACGTCGCAAAAGTGGCCAAAAAGCACCTGGAAACGGTGAAATGGGAAGTCTTGCCCCACTTTCCATATTCCCCAGATGTCGCCCCTTCTGACTATCACCTATTCCATTCGGTGGCACTCGGCCTGGGAGATAAACATTTTCGATCCTTTGAAGAATTGGAAAAATGGATTGCTTTATGGATAGCATCTAAAGAGGACTCCTTTTTTCGAGCCGGGATCCGAAAATTGCCGGAAAGATAGGAGAAAGTTGTCGCTAGCGAAAGACAATACTTTGAATAATATATCTGTAAGCACTTTTTCGCAATAAAGCTTTTAATTTTGAAAAAAAAAAATAGTAAATTTTGTTACTATTTCGTATTCTGAGTACACTGTCACCCTGTAAGTTTTGTTACTAGTGAAATAGTAGGTAACGAAAATTTAGCTGTTTGTTTTTGTGTTGTGTTGAGTGGGCATATTTTAGGTCTGCAATTCATTGAAGGTATAGAAAAAGTGTAAAAAGGGGCATGCTAGGATGTTGCGAGAAAAAATTACATTTAATTTGGAAGGTAGCGTTTTCATTCAGCTTTTCTGTGTCATTTATGCATATTTTCCATATTTAGGTTCGAATATTTCTAACTCAATAAACAAATAAATAAGTCTTATTTGTTTTGTTGCGCTCTGTTTTATATTTCGATGTGAATATTCTTCTTTTTACTTTACCAACTGGCAAATGTAGTTTGAAAGAAGCAGTGCTGCCAACATTTGTGACCAGTTCGCCAGAATACCAAATACAATTTCGGGTGTTAAAAAGAAGCAACAAAATTTACTTTACCGTTTACAGTGAGAATAGGGCTGTTAATGTTGAATTTTA